CCCCGGGTCATTCGGTGATAGGCGCTTGTGTTATTAATAATTATTTATTTAACAGGTCGGCCAGTAAGCGCCCTAGGTTATTAGGTAATAGGCGCTTGGGTTATTAAAAATTATTTATTTAACACAGTAGCCAGTAAGCGCCCCGGGTCATGAGGTAATAGGCGCTTGTGTTATTAATAATTATTTATTTAACAGTGACCAGTAAGCGCCCCGGGTCATTGGGTGATAGGCGCTTGTGTTATTTTAATAATTATTTATTTAAAAGAGTGGCCAGTAAGCGCCCCGGGTCATTAGGTGATAGGCGCTTGTGTTATTAAAAATTATTTATTTAAAACAGTGACCAGTAAGCGCCCCGGGTCATTGGGTGATAGGCGCTTGTGTTATTTTAACCATATACTTTCGTTGTGGCGCGCGGGCGCTACAGTCGTATACGACGCACTATACTACTGTTGCACATGGCTATACATACTACCGTAGTACCAGAGTTCTCTCCGTGTATGGAGCAAGACGCAAATCTCCAAATAACTTGACACAATTTTATGCACAATAACTTAATAAACTAATCTCAAGCTATTTAACCTAATAACCCAACGGGCCAATAATCAGCCTCATGAGTTTAAATGAATTAGAAAATTTATTAATTAACAACGCAAGCGCCAATCCCCACACAACTGGGGGCGCTTACTGGCTGCTTTAATTATTGATAGAATAAATATCATAACGCAAGTGCCAATCTCCACACAACTTGGAGTGTTTACTGGTCGATTACTTAATTTATGTTAAATAAAATAATAACGAAAGCACTTATCTCCTTACAACCTGGCGCACACTGGTTGCTTTAATTATTTATCATTAATAAAACAATAACGCAAGCGCCTATCCCCACACAACCAGAGGAGCTTACTGGTTGCTTTAATTTTTTATAATAAATAAAATAATAACACAAGCACCTATCCCCACGCATATCGGGGTGCTTACTGATCGCTTTGATTATTTACAATAAATAGTATAATCCAAGGACCAATACCCACACGACCCGAGGCGCTTACTAGTCGCTTACTTAATTTATAATAAATAAAATAACAACGCAAGCGCCAATCCTCACACAAGTGGGGGCACTTACTAAATGCCTTGAATTATTGATAAAATAAAATAATAACGCAAGCGCCAATCCGCACACAACTGGGGGCGCTTACTGGTCACTTTACTTATTTAAAATCAATGGAATAATGCAAGCCTTCCGGGTCGTGTGTGGATTAGCGTTAGCATTGTTCTATTTATTGTAAATAATCAAAGCGACGAGTAATCGCCCCGGGTTGTGTAAGGATAAGTACTTGCGTTATTATTTAATTTGTTATAAATTATGTAAGCAACCAGTAAGCGCCCCGGGTTGTGTGGATTGGCGCTTGCGTTATTATTTTATTGTATCAATAATTAAAGCAGCCAGTAAGTGCTCCCGGTTGTGTGGGGATTGGTGCTTGCATTATTATTTTATTGTATCAATAATTAAAGCAGCCAGTAAGTGCTCCCGGTTGTGTGGGGATTGGTGCTTGCATTACTATTTTATTAATCATAAATAATTAAAGCAACCAGTAAGTGCCCCTGGTTGTGTGGGGATAGGTGCTTGCATTACTATTTTATTAATCATAAATAATTAAAGCAACCAGTAAGCAGTGCCTCGGGTCGTGTGGGGATTGGCACTTGCTTTGTTAATTAATAAATTTTATTATTCATTCAAACTCATGAGGCTGCTTATTGGCCCGTTGGGTTATTGGGTTAAATCGCTTGGGATTAGTTTATTAAGTTATTGCGCATGAAATTTCGTCGAGTTATTTGGGGATTTGCATCCTGCTCCATATAGCTAATTTGAATTTCCTGCAAGTTTTCCAGTCACATTTGGGGAGAACCACTGGCTTTCTCCCTCCTCCTAGGATTATAGCTATTCTGCTTTTGCATTTTCTCACTAGGATCTGTAGCTATGTATAGGTACTAGTGACAAAAATGCAAAATCATTTCCGCCTCACCCAACACTGATCCTGCAGCTATCACAGGAGAGTCTCAGCGTTGGCCGCGGTGGTCAATAGTTTGCTGCCAACCGCAACCTTCAGAGCTCTTCTTTATTAGCACCACTACCGGCCTAGCTGTGGACTATCGCTGATGGACACATTTGTATGTATCTATATACAGTCCACAGCGATAGTTCACAGCTTGGTCGTCGGTGGCGCTAATAAAGAAGCTCTCTGAAGGCACTGAAGCAGCGTTGGGTTAGGCGGATTCAATATCGGAACTTTTTCCCTAGATCGTATGTATAGCTATACTATCTATCTAGGGAGAATGTTCCGTCGAGCAGACAGCACAACAGTGAAAGGGCATTGCCTAAGACGCGTGAAAATTAAAAATTGTAATATTATAACACAAGTGCCTATCACCTAATGACCCAGGGCGCTAACTGGCCACTCTGTTAAATAAATAATTATTAATAACACAAGCGCCTATCACCCAATGACCCGGGTCGCTTACTGGCCCCTCTG